TTTTTTTTTTTTTTTTTTTTTTTTTTTTTTTTTTTTTTTTTTTTTTTTTTTGTGTTTTTACCCTTGGGCTGCGGAGCGGCGTTCAGAGGGCGGTCGGTCAAGAGAGGAGCGACTAGCGTGCAATCGTCGGATTGTTAAAGTGAGGATAGAAGGCTACCTAAGAATAAAAACAAAAATAATAAGAGAAAGAGAAATTTAACACCGAAGAGAGACTGAAATGAATGGGAAAGAGAGAATACTAAGCGATTTCTTTAATTATGGAAATTCCAAGGAGATTGGTTGTATGGAGTTGGTCGTCAAAAGCCTTGACACGAGAGAGTGATTCTCGCACGGTTCTGTAAGTGCTCAGACTCCACGACACATTCCTTGACAGCGTTATGCAAGCGCGGCAGTGTGTCAGGCTAAGAAGCCTCCGTTCTTTAAGGGGGCGAACTGATAGTGGAGCTGGCGTTGTGCAAGGCTCCAGAATTGCTACTGCGTGGCTTCTTAGAGCACTATGGAAAAGCCTATTTGTATCTAGTGCACTGATGGGGTTTTCTGTGAGAGACGCGGTGGAAGGTATGTACTACGGAGTCCTTAAGTGCCCTATAAAGATCCATTCCTCCTTGTCTTAAATTTTTCATCTTTCTGAGTTTACGATATACCCCAGGCCTAGCCAATGTTGGAAAGTAACCGTTTGAGCCAATATAAGAGGAAGGTGTTAAAAAAAAAAAGTAAGAAAATAAATAAAAAAAAAAAGGAAGAGAGAATTTAGCTTCTTGCGTCGAAGGTGACGTTTGGCCCAACCCACCAACCGATCGTCGAGCTAGTTGAAGTATCAGAACATATTCAGGTATTGGAAGATACATTGTGTTTGATGATATAACCTTGTCTACTTTCTCATTCATGGCTCGGATGCTTCCCAGTAGGATTGTAGGGTTATCTAATAAGTAGACTCATATAGATGGTCATACATGGTCGTGGTCTGTGGCTTACCATAGCCCCCTAATAGACGATGCAGAGGGGCACATGGTGTATAGTAGGGAAGTGAATGTGTACAAGGGTATACACCGAAAGATCGGAAAGACCCATCCAAATAATGGAGTAGTGTCATTGATTGGTCGAAAAGATCGGGCCTGGCAGCTGGTGCCTTGGGCGGGATGATGTACGCTCCGACGAAGATACAGTAATTGCAGCAATGGATTGGTTGACCGGATATCCCGCTGGGGCGCCGTTCCATGGAATGGGCGAATCAACGGTGGGTGGACTCGACGCGAACGAGGTGCCTGGCGCGGAGACGGTCATAGCATCACTAGGTTGTATTTAAGTAGACTTCTCTATCAGTTACCACTAATACACTTCGAAGCCAAAATCATCTGTCCTGGTTGTTCATCATTCTCTTTATACTTGTGTGGCAATCTCTGAATGTTTGCACCGAACAGGTTAGTGCTTGAGGGACAAGAATGAGAGAAAAATAAATGTAGTCCCGTTTTTCAAGTATCGGCTGATCCTTCTGAGCTTCAAGTAGGCTTGTTACCACGGTTCACACATGACATCGTGATACCGCTAGTGGGGATGATATAAAAAGTAATCTGTACCAGAGAATAAGAATGGAAAATAGGCACATATACAGGCAATGCCCCGCCAGGTCTCTTCCTTTACCTAAAGAATAGAGTAAAAGAAAGGCAAAAAGAAGCAAAACGTAAAAAAGGGGCAAAAGGGAACAAGGAATTGCTGGATTGCTGGAATGCTGAAGTAAAACCTGCCATCTGTTCTGAGATAACCCATGACTTTGCCCGTTACGTACTTGGTACATGCATTAAACAATTTTCGCTCCTTCCTTTTCTTTCTTTCACGGAGAACTCCGTACATTACCGTACTCTACACCATTAATAAAATCGATTATGAAAGTGGAGAAAATTATATATTACTGGGTCATTTACTAGTTACTATAGGTATTCTCAATGGCATACTTTACATTGTACTTAATTCACTAGTACTCCGTATGTACATAGCCTTTAAATTGTACTCTGAGATGGAGACAATACAGTACACGTGGGAAGGATTCATTGTGAAAACCAAGATCCGCTTCTGTACTCACACATTCTCTTCAGATACCACACTAGGATGTCCAAGAACTGAAACAGGACTACTATTATTACTACTATGAACAAGTATCATCAGCATGTATATTGTTTTATTCCATGATCAACACGGACCTACCAATAGAACCACATAGAGAGTTAAAGGACAAAAAAAGAATCAGCAGCCACCAAACACTATTAATGACCAAATGCAGTGTTGAGGAAAAGCAGGGACCCAGGGGCAAACCGTAAGCGCTCAGGGGTTACCGTTCACCGCCGCCCGCCCTGGCGATCCCACCCTAAAGACTTGTCTGAAACATGGCCCCGCTATGCGTCGGCGGTTCACCCGGTGGCGCTAAGTCACGTGGCGTAGAGCCCTCATCCTCTTCGGTACCCGACCACACTCATCCCTGCCTAAAAGCTTTTTTCCCTTTTCACCTCCCGAATCTCACTAGCTTACCGAAGCAGTTGCAGCGTTTCCCAGTGGTTCGTCTTGCCTTCGTCTGATATAGACGCTACAAGCACTGACGGCACCCTGGAAATTAACCTTTCTTTTTGTTTTTTGTCTCAAAAACCATGCATGACTCATTTGTGGCGTAGCCTGTGAAGTGCTGTCTCGATTGTCATCTATCTTTTTTATTCTATGTGACCCCTCCCTTAAAACCCTTAACCAAAACCTAGCTGCCCGTTATACCCTAAGCTAGCTGGCTTTGTGTGCTAGTGACTGAGCTACTGACAGTATCCCCGCGTAAATTATGTTCCCAGTCTCGGGGGCTGGTCAATCTGACCAGTATCTATGTGTTCAAAAACACGTAGAGTACATTAAAAATCTGGACAGCGTGCGTCATTCTTACCATCTTTTAATGATGGGAAAGATGGTTGACAGGTGATGCTAGAGGAGGGATGAGCTTGAATATTGGCTCACGGAGCATCTTCGACTTAATGGAGTCTACTGGGGCTTAACAGCCTTGCATCTTCTCGGCTGTCCTCAAGCCTTACCTCGTGAAGACACGATCAGTTTTGTCCTCTCCTGTCAGCGTGAGAACGGTGGGTTTGGGGCTGCACCTGGACATGATGCTCATATGCTGTATACCGTTTCTGCTGTCCAGATCCTTGTAATGCTGGATGCAGTGGATGAATTGGAAAAGCGTGGCCTTGGAGGCAAACAGAAAGTTGGCTCTTTCATCGCTGGATTACAGGACAAGAAAACTGGCTCGTTCATGGGTGACGAGTGGGGCGAGTTGGACACTCGGTTCTTGTATGGTGCGTTCAATGCATTGTCACTCTTAGGCCTCCTGGATACTGTTGATGTCCCAAAGGCCGTTGCCTATATCCAGGAATGTGAAAACCTGGACGGAGGTTACGGTATCCACCCCGGTGCAGAGTCACATTCTGGACAGGTCTTCACCTGTGTAGGAGCTTTGGCTATTGCCGGGCGATTGGACTTGATTAACAAGGACCGCTTGGGTGGCTGGCTCAGCGAAAGGCAGGTGGATAATGGAGGCTTCAACGGACGTCCGGAGAAATTGGAAGATGCATGCTATAGCTGGTGGGTTGGGGCCAGCTTGGCCATGATTGACAAGCTTCACTGGATTAATGGCGACAAGCTTGCTGCATTCATCCTGCGTTGCCAGGTTAGTTTCACTCGAATTGGCTACAGGTCGTGTTTCTAATCCAAACTAGGACCCGGAGAATGGTGGGTTTGGAGACCGACCTGGTAATATGGTTGACGTTTTCCATACACACTTCGCCCTCGCAGGGTTGAGTCTTCTGGGGTATGACGGTGTTGGAGAAGTAGATCCTGTCTAGTGAGTTACCTGTCTTCAAGTTTCTATGATCACGGGGTGCTAACGATGGCTAGTTGTATGCCGAGAGCAATAACAAAGTGTTTGCCGAAGTGATAATTGCTGCTTTACTCGATTGTCCGTAGTTAGCACCTCCTGCAATCTAATAACCCATTTTGCCTCTATTTCATGGATTATGGGATACAAGGCAGGAGAAGAATGATTGGTACTGTGACTTATTTCCGCTTCATACCCCCTCACAATAACCTGTTGAAAGGTTGTTAAGACACAGTGGCACATGATATTATGTAACCCATAACGGTAGCAGTGTCTTTTATCTTTTAATATGAGCTCAAATTGCACAATTGATGACTTGAGGTTCCCACTTTTATTCATTGACTCTTGCCTGGTGCCCTTGAGGCTATTTTCAGTAGTAAGTGCTACTGTACGTACTTTAAACACATTACTGCTGGTAGGTGGTCACGGTACAGTGCCTTGTCCGGCCTAGTCGTGTTCAAGCAGGTGCCTGCCCAGTTGGAAGTTTGCGAGGAGTTCCTTCTCTAGTTGCTCATGTGAGAAAGAATATGTCTTCTCCCATTCTAGCACCTGCCCTGGCAGTTCTCGATTCTGCAGGGCAAGTCTTCTGATGTCTGTTTACCGCCGTTCATAAGAAATGTCCAATGTCCGCCACGAGGGCCAGTCTTTCTATACTGGCTGTTCGCCCAGTATCTGGATTGTTTAGGCTTTTATGCATGCAACGACTTGCACCTGGCAGCTCTAACCTGTTGCCTTCTTTGATTTCACCCTAATTGGCTCTTTCACTTTTCTTCAAAGTCACCTACGATGGATGCGGCAGCACTTTTGTGCAACATATGCCCCAAAAAACCCAAATTCAGTGATGTGTCTCATTTGTTGACTCATGTTTCATCCAAGGCTCATCTTTCTCATTACTTCAAATTACAAGTCCGCAGTCATCAAGAGGCCCAAGCCGTTATGGTTCTTGACGAGTACGACCGATGGTATAAGGCCAATAATCTTGCGAAGTTGCTCTCCGATCGATTAGCCTCGAAAGATGCTCGCAGGAAAAGGATACAAGGAAAGGCTGGGTCTCATGATAAGAGGTGCCCTGTGAAAGAAGATCATGGGTATAAAAGTCCTCTAGTGCCTGTACGCTCGCCGCACGACAGTGCTCTTCCTGATTACTTAGATCCACGCCTTGTCACGTCAGGTGTGGATATGGAGCATGATATTAGCGACAGAGACACATCAGTCTCTGCGGACTGCGTCACTGCAGTTGTTTCTCCAAATCTCGGTCTGCAAGCAAAAGCAGAAGCGAGCCATTTATTGCACCATACGCCTGGTCCTCAAATCATCACAGAAGCCACGGCCTACCAGTGGAAGCAAGAACGCGTGTTTGGTTCAGACGATGAGGGTGCTTCTGTCTTGGGATGCACGCCTAGTAGGTCTAAAACGCTGGGAGACACAGCGCAAATTGCCTCGCAGTTGCTAAACCGACATCTAAATTACGATCCACTTGTTGACGACGCTGAGAGTGAAGTGGACAAGGAAAGGGTGGATGAGATCGCTAGACTTAAAGGTGTTCTTTGGCCGGGAATGGATATTTTCGATTCGGCCACCGAGCAAATGAGGCGCAAGCGCAATCAGAAGAAGGATGAAAGCGCGCTTAGGGTAATGGAGAAGACGTCCATGGGTGTCGAGCCTACAGAGCTCATATTTTCTCCTACCGGTATTTTACGGAAACAGCGTGTGATTTCTGGTAATGTAGAGGACGGCAGTCCTCTGAAGGGGGAAACACCCATACCCAGGCGGAGATCAACTCGTTCGAAACGTGCCCTCTCTCAAACCGACGCCAACCTTCAACGTGGACGGGACAGGAAGCGGAAGAAGAAAGCAGTTAAACGTGCCCCAATCACCGTTGGGCAGGACTTGGACCATAGAGATTCACATTTCACGCGGGCAACCTCGACTGAAGCCCCAATTTGTGGTGGTAACCAAGTAAATCATGGAGAGGGTACCGACGACTTCACATTGACATTCAATGGGCATGAGCCTAGGTCGCGCAATGGGTTAAAGATCTTTTGTGACACACCAGACAAAAATATCCCAGACCAACATTGTGGTGATGGGTTGCCAATTGGGCTAGTTGCATCTTCTGATGCACTCTTCCTGCAGCAAGAGGTTATGATCACTCGCACTCCTAACTCGGTACTTTCCAGCAATTATATCTCAGAATTTGCAGAGAGGCTTTGCCGTTTTACTACAGACAAAGAGAATATCGAACCGCTATTGGATGTTCACGGCCGAATCGATCCTCTTGTGGGCTGGCACTCTCCCGTCATCAAGCGACATCTAGCCAGTGATACTAGTTATCCGCCACAGTTTCTTTTCGGCGATAGCCAACCCATCGAGCTAAACATGTTAGATGGACACGATAGTCATGTAGGATATTCTTATAATCCGCTAGCAGCCTCATTTCCAAAATTGTCAGCTGAAGAGAATCCTATATACACCGTGGACACTAGCAACGTCCCCTCATTTCAGGGTGCGACGCGTGTAACGTCTCCTGAGGCGACGATTTCCGATATCGAAGAAGATGATTTTGAGCGACTATACTTGGATGGGAGCTCCTGCTAGGATTTGTCATTGTTATACCCTCTTTTCTTACTGCACTCTTGATTACTGCTGGCATTCTGATTGTTCACTATACCACAAGCCCGCTTTACAGCATAATCGGCCCGATAACCTTATCGTGAGATCCAAAATTCTAGAGTCCTTGAACCTAATGGACCTGACCTCAATACTAAGGAGTTAGACGTTCCGCCCATCACGACGCATCGTCGTTGTATCTTAGGCAGGCCGACTTTTCGCATACCATCTAGCAGGATTCAACGAAGGAATTTCCAATAACAGCGTCGCTGCTGCATAAAGATGAAGACGTGCGCTGAACTTGACTGCGTATAATTATAGCCGACGTTCTATACAGCATGAATAGTGATTCATTGCGATCGACGCATATGGCTGGTTGAGGCATCAGTACCTACTCATGCGCCATTTCAACTATCAAATGTATAAATTATGCTTCACATAGAAAATAAGTGTTATTTGGTCATCAACTTGACCTGCCAACTCCTGACTTTGTCACTGAAGGCGTAGTAGCACTCGTTAAGTTCACTACTGTAGTTACGTTAGTTAACGTAATCGGTAAACGAGCGGGCCACGCAATCGAGTGGGCCAACGCGCCGGTTTTCTACGCGTTTGTTTTTTTGAAGCTATTCAACCACCAGCCATACCACCAAAAATGCCTAAATCATCAAGGTCTCAGGTAGAACAGGAAGACAGAGTCTTATTAGCAATATCAGCTATTAAGAATAACAAATTTATCAATATTCGTGAGGCAGCTCGTGTTTTTTAATATACCTCGTACAACACTCTAAAGGTGCCTATCAGGGTATACATTTCGATCAGATACACGCGTAAATGGTCATAAATTGACTACTACTGAAGAGGAATTGTTTAAAGAATGGATTCTATCACTAGATAAATGTGGAGTGCCTCCCGGATCTGTATATGTACGAGAAATGGCCAATATCCTGCTTTCAAAGTATAATACTACTTCTCCTCCTACTACTGTAGGGGAGAAATAGATATACAACTTTACCAAGTGTATACCTGAGCTTAAAGTCTACTTTGCACATCGCTACAACTATTAGTGTACTAAAGTAGAGGATCCAAGGATTCTAGGAGCTTGGTTTAAGTAGGTAAATAAGATGTTACAGACCCTTGTCTAGCGCACCTTGTCAAAGGCGGGCACGCAAGGCAGAATATCATAGGACAACAGGAACCGAAGCCAACTACAGGATTATCAGAGGATGACTACAGCAAATACCCAATGTGACAGTAAATTAAGGACCGATACTAGATTAGTTACATAATATCTACTCCGGAACCTATCCCAGAGGGAGTATACCGGGAGTATACAGCACTGTATACTATAATTGGATATACTCCACTACCTACCCCCAAGGGAGTCACAGCGGGAGTAGCCAGCTACAGAATATATAAAGACACTTATTTATATACCTAGTTTAGTTCTTCGTAATCAATTTCTATATTGTTACTACAGAGTTATCTTTAATAGTAAGACCAGTCTCAACTCGTTTGTACTCTTTAACTATTGAGTATATATACTCAATAGGCCTGGCCCTTTAGACTCAAGTCTAGTATCGACAACAGTCTTGTATCGACTACACACACAAGACAACTTCATTCTAGCATCAACGGCAGTCTTGTGCCTACCCCGTACCTCAAGACCGCGACCCATTGAGAAACCAAGTTAAGGACGACTTCAGATTAGTGACCCCTACGCGTGATCCGCTAACTGGTCTCAGACTTGACGACGAAGCCCCGGGCGTAACATAAGACTATTCAGAAATATGGTATAGCTTCAAGCAATATCTACAATTTTGATAAAACAGAATTTGTAATAGATCTAGTAGCTACAGCCAAAGTTCTTACTAGATCTGATATGTCAGGCAAGCCATTTTTATTGCAGCCAGGAAACCGGGAATGAGTTACTACTATAGAATATATATATTCTAATAGATAGGCTCCACCTCCCTGTTACCCTGTATTATTTTTAAAGGCAAGATACATATGGAGACCTAGTACGAGGATAACAAGATTCCTTCTAATTGGAGGATTGAGATTAGTCCTAATAACTAGACAAGCAATAATATTGACCTACATTGGCTACAGAATTATTTTATATCTTATACTGCCGGCCGATCTGTTGGAAAATACTATTTACTTATTCTAGATAGCCACGATAGTCATCTAATATCTCAATTCAATGAGATCTGCGCAGAAAATGATATTATATCAATCTGTATGTCTGTACACGCTTTTTATAAGCTTCAACTGCTTGATGTTGCTGTTTTCTTGCCTTTAAAATACGCATACGGAGACCTAGTTCAATCTAAAATACACTGCGGGTGTAATTATATTGATAAACTCGATTTCCTAAACACATATCCTGAGGCCTATACAGAGGCCTTTACCAGCAGCAATATTTATAGTACTTTTAAAGCTACTGGCCTAGTTCCTCTATCCCCTAAGCATATTCTGTCTGAGCTGACAGTTCAGCTCAAGACTCCTATACCTCCGGGTAGTAGACCTAGCAGCCAAGGCAGCTCAGTGTCTATTATACCTTATACAGTTATGCAGCTGAATAAGTCAGAATTTAGTTTTAAAAAGCTGCTTAAAGATCGGTATTGCAGTCCTGATTCGCCTATTAAAGCTCGCCTAAATCAAATAGTAAAAGGCGCTGAATATGCTTTCTATAATGCAACGATATTAAAGTATAAACTCGACCAATAACAGGCTGAAAACGAAAGGCAGATTAAAAAGCGAAAGCGCTCTACTAAACAGATTACTTTTCAAGAAGGTATATCAGTATCTGAAGCCCGAATTCTTATAGAGTGCCGAAATCAGGCAGATGAAGTCATACAGGCAGATAGGGCTCTGCCTGCTGAATCGGCCCCTAGGCGCGCCCCGTCTAAATGTTCTGGCTGTGGTGTACAGGGCCATAAAATCACGCACTGCCCGAATCGATAGAAACCATCATTTTTATATAGGAGTCTAAATTTATGGTGTTTTGATCATTTTAAATTTCAATATGGCGGCGCGTTGGCCCACTCGATTGCGTGGCCCGCTCGTTTACCGATTACGTTATGTACGTCCCTGATTAGGTAAGCAATGGAGTCTGACTAACTAACTAGTTAACTAGTAACTAACCTAGTTATCTAGTTAACACTTAACCTAACTAGTCGACTGAAGTACATACATTGCAACACGGTTAACGCGTCTTCTTACGCGTTAAGCTCCGAAGCCGCGGACTTGCAAAAGCTTTCGTTAGACTTTGCGCTCGAAGTGTTCCTGAAGCAGCGAGACGTTGATACTATGCAGGGCAGGTAACAGCTAATGGCAGCATGGTATTCTGGTTTTCAATACGTGTTTACTAAACCTGTCTCGAATGCTTTTTACGAAAACCTATCGCTTCATTTGCCACCTCTTCCTTCGCCGCTAATCCATCACTCCATCTCGCCTATCTCGTTGAATTCTATATCTTTTTAAAGTAACACGCAATAGAGCACCTGTTTGAAGCTTATGTGACTTACAAAACACCCGGGCAGTAAACGATGCCTCTATCTTCTCAGCCGCCATCTTCTCCAAATTTGAAGCGAAAACAACCGACCATCTCAAGCTTTTTCACAAAGAAGCCGCAACTCTCGCAGGAAAACCCTTCGAATGATGTTCTTGCAAAGGAGGAACGAGATCAAGAAGGGGCGGAGGGTACAAAACAGGAAGAAGGCTTAAGAGAGAAGAATAGTAGTAGTTGGTCAAACAACGTTGATGATGAGGAGGACGATGTAGTAGGTCCGGCGCCAAAGCGGGCCAGAACAAATGGTTCAGATTCGCAAATTACGACCGAAGCTTCGAAAGAAACACATGTTGAGCGCCCTTTGCCATCGGACAGTAGCCAAAAACCGGAGCTCTACAAGTTCGCTAGCTCGCCCGCTACGGAGGGAGAAACGAAAGAACGAACCAAGGAAAGAGACAAGCTACATCAGAAGTTTGTGCGGAGATTAGGTGGACCAGACTGCCTCATTGGAATTGGCAGAAATGCTGCTACCGAAGCTGTTTTCGAGGAGGCTGGCGAGGGTGATGAGGATGACGAACCTTCTCCGCCGCCTGCAGCTAAAGGGAAGGCCACGGCAAAGAAAGGCGGGCGCAAGCTTACTCCTATGGAGAAGCAGGTCATCGATATCAAGCGGGAACATATGGATACGGTTTTGGTAGTGGAGGTTGGATACAAATTCCGGTTCTTTGGCGAAGATGCTAGAACGGCTGCGAAGGAGCTGAATATTGTCTGTATTCCTGGGAAATTCAGGTTCGATGAACGTAAGTGTCGGTTTCAATTAACAGCCCACTTCGTTTCTGCTTGCCTTTACTCATAGTATTATAGATCCTTCGGAGGCTCATCTTGACCGGTTTGCATCAGCAAGCATACCGGTCCATAGATTACATGTTCATGTCAAGCGTCTTGTTACGGCCGGACACAAAGTCGGAGTCGTCCGACAAATGGAGACTGCTGCCCTTAAAGCTGCTGGTGATAATCGCAATGCGCCCTTTGGACGCAAACTCACTAATCTGTACACAAAGGGTACGTATATTGATGATATGGAAGGCCTGGAAGGATCTACAGCATCTCTGTCAGCCGCTGGTACTTCAATGGCAACGGGGTATATGCTTTGTATTACAGAGACAAACGCCAAGGGCTGGGGAAATGACGAAAAGGTGCATGTGGGGATTGTCGCTGTTCAGCCGGCAACAGGTGACATAGTGTATGACGAGTTTGAAGACGGGTTCATGAGGAGCGAAATCGAAACCAGGCTCCTTCATCTGGCACCTTGTGAGGTTCTTATAGTTGGTGACTTATCAAAGGCCACGGAAAAGCTTGTTCAACATCTTTCTGGTAACAAGACTAATGCGTTTGGTGACGAGATTCGTATTGAGAAGGCCCCTAAAGCAAAAACGGCGGCAGCCGAGTCACATAGCCATGTTTCGAGCTTTTA